CGTGAATGAATGAGTCATTAATGTACTATAATTTAGGGTATGTGAAGTTGCACGTGAACTAGTGAGTGAGTGAAGTAATGAATGAATAAAGAAGTGAAAAGCATAGTGAATAAAGGAATGAAAAAAAAGAGTGAGGGTGAGTTAGTGAACGTGCGAATGAGTGAGAGAGAAGGTGAGTTAGTGAGTGAGTGACTGAGCGAAAAAAGTGTAATAGATAGTAAAACAATTAGCAAGTGAAAGAGACAGGATGAGTGTGAAGATGTGAGTGAATGAGTTGAATAAGGTAGTGTGAAGGACAGAATGAGTAAATTACAGTGACTGTAGGAGTCAAGGTGAGTGAAAAAGTGACTGCTAGTGAGATAAGTAGTAGCGTGAATGACATAGTGAGTGAGAAAATGTGAGCAACTTACAAAATGAGTAAATGACAGTGAGCAAAGGAGTGTAAGAAATATTTGGACAAGTAGTTTGTGAATGAGCGAGAGTGAATAGAAAAGCAAGTGTGAAATATTCAAGTGAGAGGCGAAATGAGTGGAAGGGCCAGTGTGAAGGATAGAAGTCGCCCTCTCTATCGAGGAAGCTTTCAAGATATGAAGCAAGATATGGCCCTTCACACTGGCCCTTCACACTGGCCAGTGTGAAGATAAGAAGTTAGCAATATCCTTTAACTTTACGTTCCGCTATATAGATGATGTTCTCTCACTAAATAATACAAAATTTGGTGACTATGTTGAACGAATCTATCCCATCGAACTAGAGATAAAGGATACTACAGATACATTTAAGTCTGCCTCATATCTTGACTTACATCTAGAAATTGACAATAATGGGTCGGTTGAAAACAAAACTTTACGACAAAAGAGATGATTTCAGCTTCCCAATTGTGAACTTTCAATTTCTATGTAGCAACATTCTAGCAGCGCCTGCATACGGAGTATATATCTCCCAATTGATACTCCCGGGCTTGTATTTCTTATTATGATTTCCTTGATAGAGGATTTCTGCTCACAAGGAAGCTATTAATCCAAGAGTTCCAAATGGTGAAGTTGAAATCATCCCTTCGTAAATTTTACTGACGCCATCACGAGTTGGTTGACCGTTATGGAATAACCGTTTCACAGATGATATCGGATATGTTCCTTATGTCATAACTACAAAACCCTTCCCTTTTCACGAATGTGACCTACCGAATTAGACTATTTACCGGATTTGTAATAACATAAGCAACACGACGAGTGCCACATCCGGAGCAGGATCTGCTTACCCTTCCGGAGCACCTGAGATCACCACCAGTTTTTGGTGGGGTTCGTGTTGCTTAGACTTTAGTTTTCTTTGTTGTGTCATCTATACTATTATTTGTCTGTTTGTCTTTTGTATTTTGGCTATGGCATTGTCAGTTTGTTTTCGATCTATGAGTTTGAATGTCCCTCTGGAATCTTTCGTCCTTCTCTTATAAAGCGAGTAAATAACAATGATCGAAGGGGCAAGAGTAGGTGAATAATGGGATAAGAGAACGTGAAGGAGAGAAAGTATCACAGAGAGTGAAGAAACGCAGCAAGAGTAGACGAAGGAGAAATTGAACGAGGGAAAGAAAGTAACACAGTGGGTGAAGGAGAGAGAAAGAGTGACAGTGAAGGAGTGTGAGTGAAAAAAAAAGAACAGCGAGGGAGAGTAAGTGAGTTTGAATCATGTCAGTGTGTGAGTAAGGAAGAGACCGTTGGTAGTGTGGTTAGTGCCTTAAATATCCCACATAGGAATACGTAGTATAACTTGTAAATGATGTTTAAGATATATATACACATTAATCAAGAAAATCGCTCTGAAGACTACTTCAAAATGTAATTGGATTGCTTTATCATAACTTTGATAATCTCTTCGTTACACTGAAACGTTACAAGAAAATACACTTTAAAACTGATTCACTGACAAATATAGTCAATATGCTTTTAATTCATTTTGTCTTGAATTCAGTGCAACAATGTCAGAAGTGAATTTTTACACTTGCTAAATATTTCAAGATCGACAGCGAGATTTGAACATAAGATTTCAACCGAAAACACCACATGTACAGCTTTTAAGACCACTAGGCCAGATATAAAATAAATATTTTCTAAGGTTAGCTTAGGAAATATATATATTCATATTCATACAAAGATTTTTCTACGTACGCGTAACGAAGAATGTAACAGGTCGAATACTGGATTTATTTTTAAAGGAAAATCGTATTAAAAAGTCGAGAAAATCTTTATATTTTAAACATAACTATAAGTTTAATGTATATAATACTAGTTTAGATCCTTTTCATGTGTAATACCAAAAAAAGAAGTACGTCACATCCGGTTTCATACGAAAATGGGTCGAAAAAAATATAATTGGACAGTTGTAGGAAATTAACTCTGCATTTCATTGTTAAAAAAAAGATCTGAGTCGTAAACATATATCTTGGATGATTCAAAGCACTATTCTTTTTTTATTTAGTGTTTTTATAAAATATTTGGAAACTTCCAGTGATTGTTTTTATCATGTATGCAATGAAATTTTATGTGAAATTTTGACGGTAGTACTAGACAGAATAAACTTTACTCATTCCAAGTATTTCTTTATTTGAAACAAAGATAACTTCTGCACAATTTTGTAAAAAATGCCAAATTAGCAAAGACGAATAGGGGAAAAACAATGGTGGTACATGTATTACTCCTTTTAACTTCCAAGAGATTCCTCCGTAAAATTATTGAAATATTCAAAGCATTTTAATTGCCTTTTCACATATTAGAATATAACATGACCTTTTAGGGATGAATTAACACAATTTTTATTTCTATGAATAGATTGTTTACATTATATTTTTTTCATTTAAAAACACATTTCATGGGATTTCAGATCACTGTCGATCTATTTTTAGCGGTCATTTTAAATGTACTTCGTAAATTATCAAACGCTTTCCTATCGAAGTTAAAAGAATGCATCGATTACATTTCAAAACGATCTGAAGAGTGATTTAGATGCGATTGTAACTTGGGATTTCTGGTACAAATGTGACAAATGTGGGAAAAACAAACATAACTTGATGTTCAAAATAATATAACAAATAGTTTCAAGTATCAGTCATTTACAAGTATTATCATTTTTTTATTTGCGTATTCATTAACGCTAATTGATTTTATAAGGTTTATTTTCGGAAGAACTATAAGTTTCCGGTGTAATTAACATTATATAGCATTTTACAATACCAACCATAACAAGAACACTCATACCCGGAAAATGTGTCATGTGCACGGATTTCAGTAAGGCATCGCCATACAACTTGAAAAGGAGAGGGGAAATGGGGGTCAGTATTTTTTTCCTCGCGATAAACAATTTTTGTCGACTATATTAAAAAAGTTTTTTTGTTGAAACCCAATTTATAAATAGTGCGATGTTTTTAAGTTAGGAAGACCAAGTTTTTTTTTACAATACTCAACCTCTAACCTCTAGTTTAAAAAGAAAAGAAAAACAACACTTTACAAATTTCATGCATCAGAAGCTCATTTCTGGATTTACCTTCATCAGGAACGCTCAAAGCCGAATATTTGAAAGCCACAGATGTATAAGAACCAAAACAGTTGAAGGGATATATGACAAAAAAACACATAAGGACATAAGTATAATAGCCAAATTCATCTAAGGACTTCTTCATATATATGTTAGTAGTTAATACTCATTAACTTATACATTTTTTGTATTAGGTGTTATGTAGTAAAATTAAGTATAGTTTTGAATCGCTTGTAAGTCTGTTTTAACCTGCACCAAAGGTATCTTAACTGTTAACCATAGGGTTAACAACCTGCGCAATGAAACACCCAGTCTGGTAAAATAAGATAAAGTCATATGAATCTAGCTGCTTCACTTCACCAATATTATTTTTCAATATTGTAAACACATTTACAACTAACCAGTTTTAAGAAATTGTGTAAACACAGAAATGATTTTGGTCGTAAGACCACATCGAATTGTTGCCTTATAAATAACATGTCTTACATTTTTTCTGTATCACTTACGGAGTCCATAATGAAAAAAATCATTTAAAATGAGAGAAAATAACAAAGGGCCAATCATAAACCACAAGTCGAAGATTAAAAAGAGACAACATTAAGACAAAATGAAACCGAGAAGAAGAAAATATCAACACCAAACACCTTAAATAAAATAAATATTGAGCAACCCGAATCTGCAAACAACCGGATGTATAAGGGTGGGGTGTAAGGCTCTCCATAAGGATAACAAGTTACTGATGAACAGAACCACATTTGAATGAATGTTAATAATATACCTCAATTTATCAAAATATTACATACATTGATAAAACCTGAATGTCATTTTTACAGATCATGCATACAATTGTGAAAATTTTCATATTATGCATCGGAGGTAACCCAAACACCAACCGAAGGATTTAGAGGCTTAACAATATAAAGCTTTAATTGAAATTTTACTCAATTTTTCGGGAGTTACGAATGTCCCTTCTACTTATTCTGAGATAAATACTATAGAAATGATCATAATTTATCCAAATTACAGCTTAAGATATTCAATAAGCATTACTGATTTGACTACATGTTTATAATTACAACATTTGTGTTAGTTGTTTTGTAGTTCTGTTTTTATAATGTCGGTTTAGACCAAGACTTCTAGGTTGACATACTATCACCCAGGAAGACTCAATACTGTTGATATTATGAAAAATGCAAGAACATTTTGACAAATAAATCAATTAGTAGAATAAATACAGGAAATTTGGTCCTACATATTTATCCCTATAAATAACTCGTAAAGCACAATCAACGCATATGTCCACCCTCCTAATCTCTCAAAGAACGAATTGGGTTTTTATTTGTTGTTAGGCAAAATATTACAATGTCATGCTGTGTATATCGACTGTAGCACCATTATATATATACATATATTTGCAGATATATCCTTATACATTCTAACTAATATTTCATTTTTTTTCTATGTATTTACAGATGAGAAAGAAAAATTCCATTTCACACAACGATTCAACAAATACCGATAACTCGACTAGACGGTCGCTTACAGAAACAAAGATTGCGTTCGCCAACGTAACAGTGGTTGTATCTGCAGTATTCTGTATTTGTTATATTCCTTTTTTGGTAAGTACCAAGTAAAGACTAAAAGAGTACCAAATCAGTTATATTGATCGAAAATGACCGAGACAACCTGCAACAGATGAAAATAATGCGCACTCAAGCAGTTAACCGGACTAAATATAGAGTAATCATACTCCAGGGGATTTTTTTTTTTAAATTTCTATAACTGACTTTTGGGTATTATGTCTGATTTTGAGGTACACGCAATATCCAACAGCAAAGGAAAGGTATAAACTATAAACGTAGCTTTTATTAGGTAGGATGTATCAAAACCGTGAATGGGTTATAAAAATGTTGTCAATACACGAGGATAAGAACATCTTTGTCTATATGCAACCTCTATTTTAGCCCAAAAATATGAATAGTAACCAGAATCGTCTGAAAATTGTAAAACATAAATATAAAACCGATGTTAATCGTATTCAAAGTATGAAAATGAAAATAACTTTATAAATTGTTCACGTCCGGAGAGTTTTCCGGATTTACCATCATCAGGAGCGTTCAAAGTCAAACATTTGAAACCCTGATGGACAAGTACAGAAAAAAAATTGGGAGCGATATGAGCAAAAGTGACCTAAAAGTAATAGCCAAATCCATTTAAGGTTAACTTCGCCTGAGGGAGTTGGAAGTGCACTTGTTTATTTTGGAAGAAATACACTAAATTTCCGTTACAGATCAATTCCGACGAAATAAACACACCATAGTAATAAAGAAAATTCTACACGCTAGACTGAAAAGGCACTTACATAGTATTCATTTACATGTTCACGAACATAACTATACACTGTCTTTAATTTAGCTCTGAAGAGACTCAAGTAAATTCAAAATGACGGTCTGCAGTTACAGATTTCTATCATATAAACGTATATGCTATCGATTTCATGCTTTAACATAAACATGACATCAGTGGCGTAATAGGATTTGAAAGTCACAAGAAAAAAAATTGTCAAAAAGTATGGGGTCGCAGGCGGAGAAAAACATACTTTTGCCCCTTGCATAACAATAAGTTGATGAAAGATTTAGTCAAAACCACGGATAAAGAAAAAAGACAAAAAGACAAACTACTGTCTACAAAACACTATAGAAAAATCTAAAGAACACGAACCTCACGCAAATCTGGAGTTAACTGTTGTTTTCCTGAATGTTAAGGCTTTCATTGAAAATGTATCAATTGACGCGTATCGAAGCATGAAGGATGGTATAACTTGATTTTGTATTTGCTTTTGTGATATAAGTTTATATGTTTGCTATTATTTTGTTTAGATTATATATTTTTTTATGGGAAATTGTAGGTTCGATTGCTGTATGACGTCATTGTAACAAATGTGAAGACGCAGGATGATTTATATCATTCGATCACGATGTCGTTATTATTTTTGGCACCATTATTGAATCCAGTCGTCTACGTTATTTGTAATAAACGTTACCGTTCCTTTATAGCTAATTCTCTCAGAAGGAGAATTTCTAATTTGTGCTGGAAACGGTCAAATAAAATAGATTTAACTGACAATAATTCATCATTAGTTTCAAATTCAAAGAAGATTACGACGACGTCTGTGTTATAAGAAAAAAAAAAAAAAACCCAAAAAAACAAAACAGGAAAGTTAATATTTAAAGAGTACTGTATGCATTTCATTATATGAAATATTTGAAACAATTGTCACATTAAACCTAGAGATATCTGAACATATTTTAATAATGTCAATTGTTTTAATTTTTGTTATTTTTGTGCCTGGTACCTATATTTTGTGTTAAGCCCATTGCTACTGATTGTTATTGTTTGTTTTTATGTTGTGCTGTAACATCATTGTCCCAGGTTAAGGGGAAGGTTGAGAGCGCACACACATGTTTATCCTCGGCACATTCTTTAGGTGGCACTTCTGAAAATATAGACAATGCAATTTCCCATAGAAACTCCTTCTACGGCTAAAACTGTGCCACTTTTTTTATGAAGTTCCGTAAAAAACATATCCTAGAATGGAAAGTTCATATTATGTGCTACAATTTTTTTCAAAGGTCAAAATATAGGACTGTGCGGAATATTTTCAACATTTATGTGCCCCGAACTTCTAAGAGTTTAAACTTATACTAAAATTATGTACTCCCGCTGCCTTCACTCTTGGTCCTCCTCAGAATTCAATTTCGCCGCTATTCATGTGTATTTATACTTGTAATATTCCCAAGTTATGTCTCTATGGGATGAAACATAGGGATCATATCTGGGAACCAGTACGTAAACAAAACAAAATATCTATGAATATTATATATCTCCCCAAAAGAGGCGTGGTTTGTGAAACAGCTGTATTTACAAAGTGCAACCTTTATGTGTCTGTCCCAGGTCGGGAACCTGTAGTTCAGATGTTGTCGTTGGTTCATGTCTGTCGTACTTGTTTTTCGTATATTGTTTTGTCGTTAGTTTTCTCAGATGAAATAGTTTCGCACTTTTCATGTTTGGGTCTTTTATAGACGAATATACGGTATGGGATTTTTCTCATTGTTGAAGGCGACACGATTGCCTATAATTGCCTACATACACTTCATTACACTTGTAATGATACAAATTGGCAGCATTATTGGAGGAGTTTGGGGGTCGAAAAAGAATATTTTGTTTGTACTTGAAAAAAAATCGCCGGTATCAAGGATTTTCCACAGGTAAACACTAGATATACTCGTCTATAAATATGTTGAATCTGTTCTTGTTTAGAAGAGATATGATTTTGCAATCAAAACTGTATTTTTTACGAATATATAAATAACAGTTTTAGTCAACTTCAATCGTTTTAATAATTTTGGAAAACTTTTAATAAATTTTTGAACACCGGTATACTACTTTTGAACTACTGTTGCCTTTTTTGTCAGTCTTCAACAATAGATTTGCAAGAATTATAGTTTTAACAAATTAATCAATATACCTGATTAAAATACTATTCCTTACGGGAATGGAATGGTAAAAATCACATTCAACATGGTTTAAAACAGATACTGCTATGTTCATTAGAAAATGAAAACAAATCATAACAATGAATCATAATGCAGCTTTGATATGCATATGCAAGATAATGATAATCCCTTTCTTCATGAATAAGTATGAGCGTTAGCATGAAAAAAGGGATGATTATTCTCTTATAAACTAAGAATATTGTTAAGTGCTCAAGGCTCAAATCATTTCTTGATTGGTTTTAATCACGAATTCGTTTCATTGTCAGTACACTTTTGATAACTAATGCATGACTTCATTTTTTAACATTTCATTTATGGATTAGTCTTATAAATAATGTAAGGACTTTCTAATAATTTCGGATAACTTTTAATAAATCGTGTTTTCGGCATTAGATGCTAAAACATTACGATGCAATAGTAGAAAATTTATAAGCTTCATAATAAATTACAGTCAGGATTCTACTTCTTCAAAATTATCTGAGACTCTCTGTTTTCGATGAGATTATTGCCCATTTTTATGATTTTTTTTCACAAAAAAATGTCACCGGACAGAGATGCAAATTAATGCTTTAAAAATATCATTCTTTTATCTTTCTGTGGAATTTGTTTCGGCAGAAATTATGCTTATGCACAAAAAAGAGCCACATGTAATTATACCTACCACAATCGACTGTTTTGTAAAAAAAATGTCTTAAATTTAAAATGTGACAGATATACCGAAGTACAATAACACAATTTTAATAAAAACACGTATATGAGATGCGAAAAATCCTAGATTATGCACCTACATTAAACTTTTAAAGCCCATATAAACAGATGTAAACAATATAGAGAGTTCTTTTTTTTGTCTAATTTCAACTGAATATCATGATCAGCCTGTTATGAAAAAAGTTATCCAGGAATTATCAGTTCAAATTACAGTTCAAATCAATAAATTCAAAATCTGGGTTACAACTGAATGTTATTCAACAGCAAGTATTTTATTCTTCCAGCTCTTTACATCTAATACTTCATAATTGACTAAAATTTAAATGTTCAAATAAAATGCATTTTATATGAAATTTAAAAGTTAATTCAATTTCCTTTTTTGATTGTATTGTAATATTGGAAATTACTATTCTTACCAACTGCAGATACAGCAATCTGAGTTTTTGGTAAGCGTATTCGTTAATAAAGATTTGGCTAATATTTATGTTTTTGTTTTTACTTTATTTTATTAGGTTGAAATTTTTTATTCTAGATAACATTTACGGTACCAATTTAAATGCACAAGAAAACTGCAAACGTATTTTTTTTATTAATTAAAATTCAACTTTTGGTCAATTTCAATCGTAAATTCTGTAAAGTTGATAAAGTGCTTCGGGGCAGCTGAAACTCATTTATAGAAATTCTTTGTTTTGAACTGTAAGTAAGCCTTAAACAATATGATAAGCTAAGCTCTTACTAAGAACATGATTTAATTTATTTTTCACAATTAAGGAACGTCAAATTTGAAATTCTAGGTCGAGAGCACTTTGCTTTATTCTAGAGATAGCTAATATGATTGATACCCATTGTATTTATTGAATTCTTGATTCTAATGGGTTTGAAGCTCTTAAAAAAAATGTCACCCCAAACTTATACAACAATACTTTTTGTGTGCCCGAAGATTCATAGATTTGTTAGTGCTATGAAAATAAATTAAATGCAAGCAGTTTTTATTATTGGTTTATTTGTTTTACTGACAAAAACTAGTTGGAACTATTTTAGTCTACACATTTGTTTTTCTTCTAAAAATCTTGTTTAAGCGACTAATACCTTTCACAGAATCAAAACGTCACTAGTGAAATAAGAACTGATACATAATAACGATCACCAAATCAATGACGGCGACAGAAGAACTTGTGAAAATGTATTTTAAGTCGTCGTTCCTCATTTTGAGTAGTTTAAAACTGACACCACAATACCGGGAGCATGCCCTGGCTTACTAAATCATCTGTTACATGTAAACGGCATAGGATTGGTCAGATGGTACGTTTTTTTCTCTAAATTGGAAGTTTACTAAGGGAAACTGATGTCATTGAATTCATCATAGATCTAAGTTTTCAATTATTCATTAGGACCAGTTGACAAAAAGTTAACATTTGCATGGATAAACCACGTGTTATTTAATAGTAAACGAACTATTATGTGGCACATTGACAAAAAGTTAACATTTACATGGATACACCACGTGTTAATTAATAGCAAACAAACTTCAGTTTAACACGTTTGTCGATTACATCTTCTGCTAACGGATCAAAGGCGTAGCCATTCTTTTCTGCATTCTCAAGCGTATCTTCGAATATTTTTGGTTCCGTTTTTGTGGCATCTATTACACCAGTACAAGGTTCATAAATATCTCCCTCCTTGCTCAGACATAATGTAGTACATACATTTCCAAGTTTGTTGGTGACGCTAACATATGTCTGGCTAGGCCCAAACTCTGGATTTTTGATAGCAACAAATACATATGTCCATACTGGAATGGTGATATCGCACTTGATATAGTCCGTATATAAACCGCTGTATGTTATCCCTTTTGACTTGACAATAGCAACAGCATCTTTACATATACTTACATCTGCATATTTTTTTTCGCAACCTATAATAGAATTATTTATTAATTCCCTTTTGATCGAGTCATGGAAAACTATCTTAATCGGCGCAAATACCCATTTTTTAACATTCCCTTTTCGTGACAAAATTTTAGAATCTCTTTGTGGTCTGGAAAGATAATTCGGGTATTTCCGGGTGATATCGTTTTTTTCCGTGACGTCTGCGAGCTTTGTGACACTGACGCAAACATCCTTGTGACACTTTGCAAATACCGAATTAAAACAATTGTTGTCACATGTAGGATAATCTTCATATCGATAAATGTTCTTGGTAAAATAATTGCTGTAGCCATCAATGTTTTTCAGCGGGGTCAAACGATACATATACTTTTCTGGCATTTGCATGCTGCTAACAAACCTTGTGACATAATCATCTTGAGGGTCTTTACCTTTATTTCTCATATTTTGACAAAATTTCTCCCATACAGAATCTGTAAACGAGTGGTGAATCCAAAATGCAGGTTCCTGAGAACTGGTATTGAAATCGTTCATTTGCCCACCTATTGCTGCGTGAATAGAATTGTGAATTTCTTCAAATACGAAACCTTCCTCTGCCGTCGGCTCACTAATGGCAGAGTGACTTTCTTGAGCAAGAATCTTCTTTATCCATTCATGCGTGATAAAACTTCCTTTAGCACCAAGGTCTCTTTTAAGCGGTACACCCCGGATTGTTTTCCAATAGGCAAAAGGTCCTTTTTTTACTATTCCCCAAGGATTTCCTAAGAACTTGTCGGTAAACATAACAGTGTGTGGAGGTATTTTCATGACGTCATCTAATCTAGAATCCCAGTAACACAAGGTTACATTCGGGTTCTTTTTTCTTAACAGTTCTTCAAATCTATAAAAAATAGCAATATTGATTACGGAAAATTAAAAAAGCCTTTTGCATTCTTTCTTTTCTTTATTGGGATTGAAAAAGAAAGCTGTAAGTTGTAAACAAAATAATATTTTTAAAACATTGTATAAATTGTTAATTATGAAAGATCAAATACTAGCAAGAAAAATGATAAGAAATGTAGATAAAAGAATAACACATTTAGAATTTTACACGAATAAAACTTTCTTATAACACACTATGATGAATACTGACATTTGGTGATTGATTGATTAAATATTGATTGCTTGTCCGGAGTC